AGGAAGTCTGCGACGTCGCAAACCGAGATACGTGGTTTGGTAGTTTCACCGTCGATATGGTTCAATTACCAAGAACTTTTGAGTTCTATGGTCTTGTGAAAGGGACCAAAAAGTGTCAGGTTCTTTCCAGGCGTAAGCAAAAGGGAATATACGCCTAAAGAGATATTGATACTTGACTGAACCATTTGCTTATTTTCCATCCTACATCCTCATTCACAATCACCTGCTTGAAATTGAATCACTATTTTATTTTTTAGAGGGTCATAAGATAGACAGAAAATTGTCTCTGCATTTTGAGACATATATATCTCGTTTTTCGTTGATTCTAGATTATCAATTTTTATTTTTCATTTTTTTTACATTGACCTGCGACAGTCAGTACTGTGGTGCGACGGATATTTTACACCCGAAGAACATGTGGCTTTTCAAGATATGCGTCCCATGAGTGATCTCAACTCAAGTAAACTTTTGAAAAAAAGTGTTTATCTTCGTACTGAGTGATCCGTCACACATCACAAACTCAAAGGAATCCCCAAAAACTTGAAAGCCCAATTTTAAAGATTGAAAATGTTGAACACTATATTTGTTACTATACTGCGGGAATGGTGGATTCATAGAAGTTGATTCATTTTGTTTACTTTAAATTGAAGGTGCATGGTCTAGTGTACCTAACTTTTCAGACTACAAGCTCGTTTCTTTACCACAAAACTATGAATACTTGTCATTTTCCTACCGACGACGTTCACTCAACGCTGTGTGGCAAAAGGAAAACAAGAACGTGAGTTCTAGTGTTTAAACTAAGGTATTTTTTTAAAAAAAAATCACAGCCGGTTTTGAAATGAGCGAAAAAGCGTTACTTAAATTTAACATGTTAAGTGAATTTTCAACGTTTTTATTTTTCAAAAAATATTTTTAGCAGTAATCGTTGCTTTGAGGACGATTTTAATCAGAATTTCGTGGTATGCGCACTTACCATTTAACTTCAAATTTTTCAAAATTCATCGTGGAAACTGTTAACATAAAAATCCACTGAAATCGAACATATTTTCGACCCCTTGGCGCATCGTCTAACAAACTTACAATGTATTTTTTTTCTACTTTTCTTTCATCATCATCCGTTTGCGCATTCATCGCGTAAGTAAAAGGTTCGAAAAAAATTATTTTTGTGCTTACTTTTTTACTAACTGTGCATATTTTTCTTCTTCTTCAATTTTATCATTGTTTTCTTTGGTGATATTAACTACCTTACCTACATCAAAAAATTTTCCAGCCCACACTGGAGAACAAAATACGATCATAAGGACAAAATGTACACGGTGTTTAATATCGGCCGTGTTTTTCGGTTCATGCGACCGCTCGCTCGGTCCCTGGAACTGGTTCATGCAACCGAGCTTTTTTGATGATTCCGTTCGGTTTGACTGCTCGGTTGCATGAACCGAAGATACGGTTCCTAGAAACGAGAGATCAATTATACATGAACTGAACAATATGGCCGATATTGAACACCGTGCATTTGGCTCATATGACCAAAGTTTTTTTCTCAGTGCAACATAACCCGCGCTGGCTGTTTTTGTGGTAAGAAAACCAAATTTAAAAAAAACTCACTTTTCACATTTTTGGCCTCGGAAGTGCAGGGACCCTTGTTCAAGAAGCACTTGAGATAGTTGGTGAGTATCCGATCGTTATTGAGGACCTTCTCTACATCGACGGCCTCCATGCGTTTGAGCGCCTCCTTCATCGTCTTTGGCAGCTCCTCGGGTTTCTTGCCGAGCGCCTCCTCGACGGACTGTTTTCGGGGCGACGATGCCGGTCCTTTCTGCGGCAAACCGGTCACCAGAAGCACCAGCGAAGTAACCAACAACAACCTGAACATTTTTCTAAAAACTTCGGACGTGCACTGCGAGAAAACGAACGTCAGTTGACTCCGGTCGGGCCAGCACTGAAAGAAAAACTGGTTTTGCCGCGGTGGTCACCCGGACAGGGAATGTTTTCAGGGATATTATTAATCTTCCCCCTCTTCCCCTCTTTTGCGGTCGGTGGCGGGAAAATTAGCGCATTCTGAATCCAAGGTGACGCACAGTGTTCAAAAAGTTACTGCAAATCGTAATATCTGTGTTAGAGGTGTTTATGAGTGGGGGGCCCGGTACAAACGGAGCAAGTAGGGTCGAATGGGTGATAAGTCTTCTGCCAATTTTCAGAGAACTACAAACAAAACTTAAATTTTGGCAATTCTTAAAATTTTTCATTATGCAATTTTTTTTTAGCTAAAATTCAAATTACAGTTCGGGATCAGTATGATTTGGCTCAATTTCAAGTCAAACTCGATCACCTAAATGGGAAAGAATGGATTCATACTATTTTTATCTTTTCTCATTTCCACCGTAATAATTCCTGTTTGGATTCATGCTCTTTTCATCTGAAGTTCAGGGATCAGTATGATTTGGCCCAATTTCAAGTCAAACTCGATCACCCACTGGGGAAAAATGGACTCATGCTATTTTGATCTTGACTTATTTCCACCGTAATCTCCGTTTAGATTCATGCTTTTTTCATCGGAACACTTCAAAGGCATAATTTTAAATTTTTTTATGGAGGTTTTGTATAGTTAATGTTGAAGGAGTACTTATGTAATTTATGTAGTGAGTTCATTTTTTTCAGCTCTATTCAATCATTCTAACACTATCAAAATTGTAAGGGGCAAATTCCTCCCCTGGGCCCCCAAAATTTAATAATAGAAATATATTTGTATTGCATTGGTTGCGGCTCAAAAAGCAAGATCCATTGTTGAGACTGACTTAACGTGTCAATGGTTAAATGCGTACCTCCAATTACGACGTTGCAAATTTACGCTCATGCTTTATTTTTTTAAAAGAAAACTAACAAACCCTACCGCGCTAGGGAGAAACGCCGTGAGAATATTCAGACATTGCTGAATGCATGTCTCCTGATTAAAAATCGAGTTTCCTCATGACGTTTTGGACTTTTTTTTAGAATTCGTTCGAAATTCACCCTGGCGCATCTACAAACTTGAAAGCAACATATAATTTGCAAATTTTCTCGAAAATATAAATTTTTTCAGTGAAGATTTTAGCAACGTTTGAATGTTCTTACAATGCACGCCATAATATTTCTTTGGCATTGCAGCACTGGTTCTCCTTAAATTCCTCAAATTCTTTTAGAACCCTTAATTTTCTTCAAATTCTTCAATTTTTTATTCGTTCTGCTTTCTATAATTTTCTCTTCAAGCTTTCAAAAATTGTTATTCACGCACAATTTCAAGAAGATATTTTGTTTCCCTACGAAAGAAATGAAACGAATTCGGACATTTTTAAACATCGCCACGGAGACACGTATTTTTTATCTTTGACCATCGATTTATATCAGCTCATGTGCGGTTGCGAGGATTAGTGCATACGTCTTAGATTTACAGAAGCTTGAAAATGACCCTGTAATTTACCAAAGTTTGGCGTCATAACTAGAACACTGTTGATCTCAGCCACGGTCACTTTGCTCTTCAAGGCATTTATCCCCCCCTCCCCTCCGGAACTGTTCGCCCTTATAATTATAGCAGCGTAAACGCACATCTTTCGGATTATGTACCACATCCTCCTCGTACCTCTGACTCGCACACTTTCCGAACTCTTAATCGCTGATGCATATATGTAATTTTTTAATACTGCAGAGCAATTCTGCCGTGCTAGGGAAAAACGCCGTATGAACATTCGAGTGTTGCCAAATTTTCTCCGATAAAATGTCTATTTTCGAGGAAAGCTATGAATATTTTTCCTTGAAATTTTCGGAAGCTTTAGGTCAAATTACGAATAAAATTCTCTGAACAATTGGAAGAAAAATATTTACAAATATTCCCGACAATTCGTGACTTACCAAAGTAAATTTGGCGACGTCTGAAGGTTCATACGGCTTTTTTCCATAGCAAGGCAGAATTCTTCGATATATAGCATGGAATGTTATATCCAGCGATACATTGTAAGCAGATGACTTAACAATGACAATGATTTCAAGAAACACTGTAAACTCGCGAGCACGAGTTTCTCACATTGACTTTTAAAGACGACTGGTTTGCAAGCATTATTGGAGTCGCTATCAACAGGTAGACAAGCAAGCGCTGGTGAAAAAGTTGATAAAACCACATTGCTTGGAACTATATCCATACAGAAGCAGAAGCTGCACATAAGCTAGAATTTTCCAGAAAATTTAGATCACAAAACAGCAAGACGAACGTGACAGAGTGGGGAAATTTTACG